TTCTGCTGGACCAGTTTGAGAAGGAGCCAACAAAACCAAAAGTTTAAAGAGGATCCAGGTGTCAGAACATAATACAAAAATTCCCAGCTTTCAACTTAAAATCACTTGTCATACCTAGAGTCAGGAAGATCTGAATTTAAAAAAACAATAGATGTCAACACAAAAATGACAGAAGTAACAATGAAAATAAACAAAAAAATTACAGATATTAGAATTAACAAAAATTTTAGGGAAGTCATCATAAAAATGCTTCAGTGAGCAATTATGAACATACTTGAAACAAATGAAGAAAGTCTCAGCAGAGCCAGGTGTTGCGTTGCATACCTATAATCACAGCCTTCTGGGAGGCTGAGGCAGGATGATCGGAAGTTCAAACTCAGCCTGAGCAACTTAGTGACTTAGTAAGAAACTGTATCAAATGAACAACAACAAAAAAGCTCATTGTGAAGGCCCTGGGTTGAATCTCCAGTATGCAAAAAAAAAAAAAAAAAAAAAAGTCTTAGCAAATAAATGGAAAATTTGAAAAGAAGACAGAAGAATCTATTGGAAATTATGTAACCAAAAAAGAAACAAAAACTAGGGCTGGGGATTTAGCTCAGTGGTTTCACCTCCTGCTACACAAGCACAAGGACCTGTGTTCAATCCCCGGTACCAAAAAAAAAAAGAAACAAAAACTAAAAACAAAAACCAAAAAAAATGTAATAAATGATCTCCACAGCATAATGAAAGGAACTGATGAAGGAAAAAATCAGTGAACTTGAAAGTAGAACATAGACTTATGCAGTCTGAACAACAGAGGAAAAACAGACTTTAAAAAATGAACTACAGCTCAGGGACCTGTGAGACTATAATAGAAGATTTGATATTTATGTTTTCAGCGTCTCAGGAGAAGAGAAAAACAGCTGGATCAAAGAAAATATGGAAACAAATAATTGCTTCAAATTTGCCCAAATTGCAAGAGATGTAAATCTATTCAAGAAGTGAAAACCTGGCATGGTGGTGTGCTGTAATCCCAGAAGTCTGGAGGCAGTTCAAGCCCAGCTGGGGAAATTTAATGACACAGTAAGACCCTGTCTCAAATTAAAAATTTTTAAAATCCTGGGGATGTAGCTCAGTGAGAAGGCCCTGGTTTCAATCCCCAGCACTGAAGGGGGAAAAAAAAGTGAACTTCAATCAGGATAAACTCAAAAGAAATTCACACCAAGATGCCTCATAGTCAAACTTCTGGAAACTAAAGACATACATACATACGTACTACATACACACATAAGCAAACAAGCAGCCAGAGAGAAAAATGATCTTATCTAATGAGGAAAATGGTTTGAAGTCAGCAGACTTCTCTCTAGAAGCCATGGAAGCCAGAAGGACACAATAGAGCAGTTTCAAGAACTGAAAGAAAAGTGTAAAATCCTATACGTAGTAGAAATCTAGGTTGAAAAATAAAATACCAAAAATAAAGTAAAATAAAATGTAAAACTTCAGAGGTGGGCATGGTGGATACATCTGTAACCCCAGCACTCTGGGAGGCTGAGGCAAGAAGACTGAGTTTGATCCCAGCCTGGGCAGTTTAGTGAGACTCTGTCTTGGAAGATAAAAAGGGGTGAGGATATAGCTCAGTGTGAAGGTCCTGGGTTCAATGGCCCGTACCACACACACACACACACACACACACACACACACGCACAGGAGCTGGATATTAGCTAGCAAGTGTGCTAGCCAGGCCTGGTGGCACATACCTGTAATCCACAGAAGGCTGAGGCAGGAGGATTGCTGTGAGTTTGAGGCCAGCCTGGACTACACAGAGAGTTCAAGGTCAGCCTGAACTACACACAGGAAGACCCTGTCTCAAAAAATTTTTTTCAAAAAAAAAAAATTTTCAACCATGTATGAAATTAATCATATACCATGACAAAATGAAGTTTACCAGGCATGCAGGTTGGCTTAATATTTGAAAACCAATGTAATCCACCATGTTACCAAGCTAAGGAAGAAAATCACAGGATTGTAGCAGTTAATGCAGAATCAGTGTTTGACAAAAATGCTTTATTTATTTATTTATTTATTTTCTTTCTGGTTCTGGGAATCAAACCCAGGGCTTTGTGCAGATTAGCCAACCACTCTACAACTGAGTTACATCCCCAGCCCACGATACTCACTCTTGATAAAAACTCTCAAGGAAAATAGAGAACTTCTACAGCTTAATAAAGAATATCCACACAAAATCTACAGCTGATCTACTTATTGATGAAAGATTGAATGAATGTTTTCTTCCTATGACGGAGAGCAAGGCAAGGATGTCTACCCTTACTTAACAAAGTGCTTAATGTTCTAGCCGAGGTAAGAAGGCCAGAAAAGGAAGTAAAAGGCACATATAGCCAAAGGAAATCCTGGCATGTGGTGAATACCTGTAATCCCAGCCCTCGGGAGGCTGAGGCAGGAGGATTGCCATGAGTTTGAGGCCAGACTGGGCTACATAGTGAGTTCAAGGCCAGCCTGAACTACATGTGAGACCCTGTCTCAAAAACCAAAACCAAACCAAAACAACACAAAACAAAAAACCAAAAAACCCAAAACCAAAACAAATGAAAGAAGATATAAAATTTATCCTGTTTGAAAATGATATAATTGTCTATGAAGACAATCCCAGAGAATCTATGAAAACAGAGCTAATAGGTGACTTCAGCAAGATGGCAAGATATAAGATAAACATACAAAATAACTTTTTTATATATTAGCAATGAATATGTGGTCACATACATTAAAAATACAATACAGGGCCGGGGATTTAGTTCAGTGGTTTTGCTGCCTGCTGCGCAAGCGCAAGGACCTGAGTTCAAGCCCCAGTACTCCCTCCGCCAAAAAAATAATAATACAGGGCTGGGAATTTAGCTCAGTGGTTCCGCTGCCTGCCTCACAAGCACAAGGACCCGAGTCCAATCCCCGGTACCAAAAAACAAAACAAAACAAAATACAATACAATTGCTCAAAAAAAATGTAGGTATACATCTAACAAAGCTTGTACAAGATACATAAGCCAGGAATACATAATGGGCGCAAGGTCCTCAGTTCAATCCCCAGTACAAAAAAGAAAAAAAACCCATAATGGTAATTAGAGAAATCACAAATGAAAATAAATGGACTGGAAGACTGAACATAGTAATGATGTCCATTTTCCCTAAATTGATAATACAATTTGTTAAAATTCCATCAAGATTTTTTTTTTTGGTACCGGGAATCAAACTCAGGACCTTGCACTTTGGAGCCAGGTGGCGGCACCACTGAGCTAAATCCCTGGCCCTCCATCAAGATTTTTGTAGATATAGATAGAATTACTCCAAAATTTAAATGGAAGGTCAAGGAACTAAGATAGGTAAACCAAGTATGAAAAAGAATATAGTGGACAGAGATTCCATTTACCCAATTTTTAGCTATTTATATGGCGACAGTAATCAAGATTATATGATGTCAGCAGAGAGACACAGATTGATAGCACTAAATAGAGAATCCTGGAAATAGATCCACACAAATATGCCCAACTAATTAAAAAACATAATGTCCAGTGATTATCGCATGGCCTAGATCATCTAACTGAATCCTTAGAACAATCATGTGAAATAAGATCTATTGTTACCCCCCTTTTGTGAGCTACTGAGGATTGAACCTGAGCCTTCAAGCTGAGCTACAACCCCAGGCCTTTTTATTTTTATTATTTTTAAATTTCTTTTTGGTACCGGGGATTGAACTCGGGAACTTGCGCTTGCAAAGCAGATGGTGGAACCACTAAGCTAAATCCCTGGCCCAGGCCTTTTTATTTTGAGACTAGGTCTTGCTAAACTGCCCAGGTTGGAATCAAACTTGGGATCCTCCTGCCTCAGCCTCTCAAGCCTCTGGGATTATAGGCTATCCACCCCCCTTTTTTGGGGGGGGTACCAGGGATTGAACTTGGGTTCTTGCGCTTGCGCTTGCGCTTGCGCAGCAGGCTGACGAGAAACCACTGAGGTAAATCCCTCACCTGGTTATCCCCATTTTTAAGTAGTTTGCCCAAGGTCACACAACTAGTAGGAGGTAGAGGTGTGATTCAAATCTAGGCCACAGCTAGAGAGGCCCTGCTCTATGATTACGTACTGCCTCTCCCCTGTTCAGCTGATTTTTTGACAAAGGTGCGAAAGTAATTAAATGTAGGAAAAATAGATTTTTCAAGCAAATGGTGCTGGAGAAATGGGAAATACATAGGCAAAACCAAACAAATAACACACCCCAAAAGCAAACACAAATAAAACAAAATACCAGGCGTGGTGGCAAAAGCCTGTAATCCCAGCACTCAGGAGCCTGAGGCAGGAGGATCGCCATGAGTTTGAGGCCAGCATGGGCTACATAGTGAGTTCAAGGCCAGCCTGAACTACATAGTGAGATCCTGTCTAAAAAACAAAAGTGAACGCAAATAACTCCCCCAAACCCTCCAAACTTTCAACTTATTAAAAATTGAAATGAATCTCATGGATTAAATGTCAACTATAAAACTGTAAAAGTTTTAAGAAAAAAAGCACTTAGGAGGGGGTTCAGGGGACAGGCAGAGTCCTCCCCACCCCAAAGATTTCTTATATGTAACAATAAGAGCAGGATTTATAAAAGGGAAAAATTAATAAATTAAAAGCTGTTATTCTGCAAAAGACTTGTTAAGAGGAAGAAAGACAAGCCACAGGCTGAGAAAATATTTGCAAATGATAAATCTGACCAAAGACTAATATCTAGAATAGATAGACAAGTCTCAAAACTCAACAGTAAAAGGGGCCAGGGATTTAGCTCAGCGGTTTTGCCGCCTGCTGCACAAGTACAAGGACCTGAGTTCGATCTCTGGTACCAACAAAAAAACCCTCAACAGTAAAAAAGAAAACTTCCAATTACAATGTGGGCCAAAGATACAGAGAGAGATTTCAGTAAAGAAGATATACAAAAGGCAGATAATCATACTGGAAAAATCACTTCAGCATGGACGACGGAGCCAGACTGTGTCTCAGAAAAAAAAAAAGAAGAAGAAGAATGAAAACCACAATGTGATTTCACTACACACCTATCAGAATGGCTGGGGTAAATTCAGCAATATAATAACTGTTGGAAGGGTACACATAAACTCACTCACGCGCTGCTGGAGGATTGAGAAATGATAGTCACTGGGAATAGTTGGGCAAGTTTTAAATAAACACTCAGCTACTGTACAGCCTGTTGCACTCTGGGCCACTTATCCTGGCAAAATGAATACTTATACTTGCACAAATACTTGAAAACAAATACTTAAAGCACCTTCGTGTATAATAAAAAACTGGAAACAACCCAGATGTCCTCCAACGGGTGAATAAATGGTTGAACTGTAGTACCTCCAGTGCCATAGAATCTGACTCAGCAAGAAACAGAAAAGAACTATTAATATGCACAACTACTGAGGTGGACTGCCAGAGACTTATGCTGATTAGGAAGTAATCAAATCCCTGGGCTGTGGGTGCAGTTCCGTGTTAGAGTATTTGCTTAATATGCAGGAGGCCCTGGTTTCAATCCGTAACACTGAAAAGAAAAAAGTCCAGTCCCAAGAGGTCTCACACTGTACGATTCCATGTGTATAACTTTGTTCCCTCCAATGCCTGATCTCACCTTGCTGCCCAGGCTGCCTTCAAACTCCTGCCTCCAGCAGTCATCCTTCCTCATCCTCCTGAGTAGCTGGGACTACAGGAGTGTGCTACCACACCAGCTATACGCACACACAGTCACGCACACACAACATTCTTGAAATGGCAAAACTACAGGGAGAACAGATTGGTCGCTGCTGGAGGTGAAGGTGGGGTGGTTCTCAAAGGGCAGCACAAGGGATTCTCAGAGTGATGGAAATGGCCTATGTGGCCTGGTGTATATTCACTGTATTAATGATGTCAATGTCTGCCTTGTCATATTGTGCTGTGGTTTTGTAAGATGTTAGCATGAGGACATTGGGTGAACAGTACAGGGATGTCATTGTATTATTTCTTACAACTGGCTGTTAATCTAGAATTGTCTCCAAATAAAATGTGCCGAGGCTGTAGCTTAGTGGTGGGATGGTTTCCCAGCAAGCAGGAGGCTCTGTTTTGATCCCCAGCACCATAGACACAAAAAGTATAAAAAAGTATGGATTGGCTCCAGAGGCATTTTGTCTTTACATGTCTTGCATTGTCGACACTTCAAGGAAAGATAAACACATTAATACTGTTGTTGAGAATATGGACTCTGCTATGGCCATATTTTTGTAGAGCATGAGTTTTTTCATCCAACAAAAGCGTATCATTTACCAGGCTTGTTGACTCATTCAGCGAAGATGCCTTGAGCACGAGGTTGTTTTTGTTTTCCATAGCTGATATCAGATGTCGAATCTTCTCTGCTTGGGGTGGTCTGGGGAAAAAAAAGTCTGAAATGGAAAAAGTTGAGGCACCCACAGGTGAGAGCTGAATTGGGAATACTCAGCAGTTGCCAGTAATCCTGGCAGACACTTCTTCCATATTCCTATTGGTCCCTGGTATGGGGACAGGGGCAGAGGACAAATAATGATGGGTGTGCAGTCCTGCTGAAGGGACTGAGTAAAGAACACAGGCAAAGGTTGATTTGCTTCCCTTTTAGGTGACTTCTGAGGGTACTTCTGGGGAAACTGAGCTTACTATGACTGAGAGGCACAAGTGTGCATGAAGCTGAATTTTTTTTAATTGGTGGGGATCAGGCCCAGGGCCTCACACGTCTAGGCAAGGGCTCTGCCACTGAGCTCTCCTCCCCCTGGCCCTTTTAAAATTTTATTTTTGAAAAAAAATTTTGTAAAATTTTTGTTAGTTTGCCCTGCTGAGTTTCCCAGGCCTACCTTGGATTCAAGATCCTCCTGCCTCAACCTCCAGAGGTGTGTTTTAAAAATGCATATGTTTGGCTATCCTTAAACTGTTTCTGGGATCGGGTAACAGTTGTTTTGCAGGATGGGACCTGAATGGCTGACAGACAAAAGAGAAGGGAGGCTTAAGAGTTGAAAGCACTTAATTGCTGTATTACAGATATGTACAATATGTTTACAGGAATTAATACATTCAAAATTAGCTGCTGGCCAGCTTCCCTGATTTTTTTTTTTTTGGTACTGGGGATCAAACTTGGGACCTTGCACTTGTGAGGCAGGTGGCAGAACCACTGAGCTAAATTCCAGGCCCAGGCCAGCTTCCTATAAGCCTGTCTCCAAAGACGTTCTTTTCTTTTTTGTTGTTGCTTTGTTGTTTTGGTACTGGGGATCGAACTCGGGACTTTGCATGAGAGGTTCTTTTCTTAAGTCCCCCCCCCCCCAGTACCAGGGATTGAACTCAGGACCTTGCGTTTGCAAGGCAGGCACGGTGCCACTGAGCTAAATCTCCAGCCCTCTTCTTTTAAGTTTTTGCTTGGAGGTTTAAGGTCCAGAAAACCTCCTCCTGCTCATCTTTGCCATTGAGCCTAGTGGTGTCCCCGGTACATGGGTTATATTTTATATGGATGAAAGAAAATGGAAATACACTGGGCTGGGAGTCAGAATGAGGGTGCTGTGAGTCTCAAGAAGTAGGTGACCAGCCCGGCATGGTGGTGCAGTCTGTAATTCCAGCATTCCAGAGGCTGAGACAGGTGGATCGGTGCCAGTTTTTGGCCAGCCTGGGCTACATAGTGAGTTCAAGGCCAGCCTGATTAAAGAAGTAGGTGACCTTGGGCAAGCTCTTTCATATACTTCTCTAGATTCAGTTTCCTTAGTTGTAAAATGATGATCTTCAAGGTCCTTGGTAATTTAAACAATTTACCACCTCATTTTCTTCTGCTCATTTGGGAGGGGGTGCTCTGAATAATTTTTAGGTCTTGGGTAAACTCCTGTCCATTGGTTACTGGCTGTGGCTAAGGTGGGTGGAAGGACAGTAAGGAGACCCACTCTGTTCCTGTTATTTATTTATTTGAGACAGGTCCTCCCTATGTAGTGCAGGCTGGCCTCGAACGCACTACGATCCTCCTGCCTCAGCCTCCCAAGTGCTGGGATTACAAGCACGTTCCACCACGCCTGGTTGCTCTGCTCCCTCCAGAACCGTCCTTTGTGGAGGACCGAAGTGGCCTATTTGCATCTTTCTGCCACCTGCCTGAGGGGTCCTCAACCCCTCTTTTCCACTCTTTATCCTGCTTCCTGGAGTAGAGTTGGTGCTCAGCAATCACTGTGTGAATGTGTGTTAGAAATGGACGGGAAGTGGGCCCTGCCATCCGGGAGCTGCGGAACTGTCTAGTGAGTCGCTGCAAAAAACTAGACACCTGCGGTCCCTGATGCTCTAAGGCGAAGCCAGGTGTGACCCTCAAGCGGTTTAGAGCGGAAGGCCGTCAGACGTCGCTGGCGCGGCAGACGCGGCCTGCTCACTCCTTCGTCGCCCTTTCCCCGCCTCCCACCCCCCCGCGCGCGCTCCCGCTTCTCAGCAAGCGCCCGGCTGGTGGGCGGCGCGCGGCGTCCGCGTCGCTCTGGGCTGGCGGCTGCGGCGCCGCGCGGGTGGGTGGGATCGTGGCGGATCCCAGCGCGCCGGGCCAGGGGCGACGGAGCGCCACGGCGGTGGCTGTGGTGGCGGCACCCAGTGCCCGCGCCTCAGGGAGGTGAGAGGCCGCCTCTTCTCAGCGACTGAGGAGGCTCGGGCCGTCCGCCCGCCATCCGCGCGGGCCGCGGCTCCGGCATGGCCGGGATCATTAAGAAGCAGATCCTGAAACACCTGTCCCGGTGAGAGCGCCAGCGCCCCGGGCCCTCCCGCCCTTCGTCCCCGTCCGCGGGGCTCCGTGCCGGGCCCCTCCCCCGCCCGCCGGCCCGGCCGTTGTCACCGCTTGGGTCTTGTCGCCCTCAGCCCGCGGGGTCCTCGCGCCTCCGCCGCGGCCGGGCCCGGGCTCTGCTCCCTCCCGCAGCCCCGGGGCCCCTCCCGTCCCCGGTGCAGAACTCGCCCTCGGTCCCCACCTCGGGCCAGGTCACCCCGTCCTCCTTGAGTGTCTGTCCTCGGAGGCCCGGCGGCGCCCACCCTTCCTGCCTGTCCCCCCCCCGGGTCCCTCGTGCCGCCCCGCTTGGGACCCGCTGCCCTCGCCCGCCCTCCTCTCCTAGGCCCCTTCCCCTGCCGCCCGTGCATCCCTCCCGTTTCCAGCCGGACACTGGTTTGCTCCTTCCCGGCTCCTTCCCTTCTTCGGTCTGACCCTGTTGCATCACCCTTGAAAAGAGGTGAGCCGCGCACCCTGGGCCGTTCCTCCGAGCTCCTTTCTCCAGCTGCTTCTCTTCTCATTATGCATACTAATTGGAGAAAGGTCAGGAGAGTTGGGGATAAAGTTTCAGGAACCTTGCCTTTAAGAAGAGAGGGTTTTTTGACGGCCTGTGAGAAGTACAGTACCACCGAAATCCACTTCTGCTTTGCTGCCTTTGGAAAGAGCTGTGAGGTCGCTAAGTAATTTGGACACGAGGAGGGAGCTGGCAGACCGCTGGCAGCTGTGGCTGAGTGACTGCTGGCCTCTGTGTTGTGATCGCAGGTTGTCAGGCTCAGGGCTAGCTTAGTTTTCACTCCGGATTCCCGGGTGCAGTTGGTGCGGTTCACAAGCAGCCTTTGTAGCGCTAGGGATCTGAGCGCGCTCCATAGTGGTCAGTGGTTTTCAGCAGGTAGACGTGTGTGTGTGTGTGTGTGTCTGTGTCTGTGTCTGTCTGTCTTTTTTCTCTTATTGCATTTGGTAAGTGACGTGACACAATATTCCTGGCTGCATTCTCTTTTCCTGGCTGACACTGTGGCTTATTTTTACTTTGATCTTAAACTTTATTTATTTATTTTTTGGTACCGGGGAGGGAACTCAGGTCTTTGCACTTTCGAGGCAGGTGCCAGAACCACTGAGCTAAATCCCTGGCCCAGATCTTCAACTTTAATTATCAGTTAGATTCAGATACTTCTTTTAGTTAATCACCATCTTTTCGTTTTTTGGTACCGGGGATTGATCTCAGCACCTTGCGCTTGTGAGGCAGGCAGTGGAACTACTGAGCTAAATCCCTGGCCCTAATCACCATCTTATAAAGGAAAGATTGGAATCTGGAACTGGAAAGTGCCTTTGTTGTTGTACTTTTATCTGATTTATTTTGTGCTTAATTTATTACTGTGCCATGAGTTTGTTTCTTCAGCTTCGCCTGGGATAGCTTTTTCTTCTGTGCAGCTTCCTTCAGCTGTGTAGGGGCAGTGTGTTCGTTCCTTTTCAGCCAGGATCATCCCAGTGCGACAGGGGCCGCTCATGGATGGGTTCATGCAGCCTGGAGCCTGAGAGAAACGCAGGCATCTTGGGTGCTTTGTTCCCCTGGATATGTGCAGTGACTAGAGAGTCCCTCTCTAAACCCTTCAATTCAGCATCACTATGCATTTTTAAGCATGTGCAGTTAAAGTTCAGCACCCTTTTTGGCCACCGATCCTGTGTCCAGCCTCACTGTTTGGCCTGGGCACACTTCCCTGCTCCACCATTGTATCGCCAGAATGGCACACATTGCTTATTTTTTTAGGGAGGCAGACGGGGTTGAGACAGGGTATGCTATGTAGCCTGGAACTCATGGTGATCCTCCTGCCTCAGTCTCTCGAGTGCTGCTGGCATTACTGGTGTGCAACAGCACACTAGGCTGTATGCGTTGCTTCCTTAAAGTGGCATCCTTCAGATACTTGGTGGCCTTTCAGTTCTGTAAACCCTTGATGACCTGGGAGTTTTACAGGTCTTTTTAAAGTGGTCACAAAAATTTGAGACTCTCAGTCTGCATGATTTTGTGGGGTTTTGTGGGTCAAGAGAGTAGTGAACCAGCTGGGCACGGTGGCGGCACACGCCTGTAATCCCAGCTTGGGAGGCAGAGGCAGGAGGATCACCACCAGTTTGAGGCCAGCCTGAGCAACATTGTGAGACCCTGTCTCAGAAGACCAAAAAAGAAAAGAAAAGAAAGTCGTGAACCATTCCACAGGACACTTCAGGCCATTTACAGGAAGAGAAAAAAGCTGGAAAGTGCCTTTGGACCTTTCACTGAGAGTAATCAAATATATTATTTTTCAGGTAGTGTTGTGTGTAAAGATTCAAAAGTGGACAGAGAACTGACTAGAGGAAAACTTTATTAATTTGAGTAGACACATAATTTTAGGATTAGAGATGATTCATCCCCTTCTCCCCCCTTAAATGGAGTCTTGCTATGTAGCCCAGGCTGTCCTTGAATTTGTGATCCTCTTGCCTCAGCCTCCCGAGTGCTGGGACTACAGACACATGCCACCACAACTGGCCCAAGTACACTAATTGTTAAAAGGGAAATAAGTAGTTATAAAGCTTTCATTTGTTTTTGCAGTACTGGGAACTGAACCCAGGATCTTGTACATTGCTAGGCAGGTGCTCTACTATAAAACTACATCCCAGTCCCCTAAAGATGAAGTTTCCTCTCATAACATCATTTTCTTTCTTCCTTTTTTTTTTGGTACCAGAGATTGAACGCAGGACCTCGTGCTTACCAGCCAGGTGCCCATGCCATTGAACTAAATCCCCTGCCTCTTTTTTTTGTTGTTGTTACTGGGAATCAAACTTGGGACTTTGCGCTTTCAAGGCAGGCGGTGGAACCACTGAGCTAGATCCCCAACACTCTTTCTTTCTTTTTTGAGAGAAGCTCTCACTGTGTTGCTCAGGCTGGCCTCTACTCCTGGGCTCAGAGACCCTCCAGAAGTCTGGGCTCTTTGATTTACTTACTTCATCTCTAAAATGGGGATAATAAGCTGGGAGGGGTGGCACACGCCTGTGATCCCAGCACTTTTGAGGCTGAGGCAGGAAGATTGTCTTGAGCCTGAACTACATAGTGAGACCTTGTCTCAAAAACTGGAAAAAAAGGGCTGGGGATTTAGCTCAGTGGTTCCACTGCCTGCCTTGCAAGCACAAGTTTGATCCCTGGTACCAAAAAAAAAAAAAAGCCTGGAAAAAAAAAAGGAGGTGGGATAATAAGTGTCTATTTGAGAAGGTTATTGTGAGGGTTACAGGTTACTATATGTAAGGACTTAGCATTATGCCTAGCATATAGTGACAACTCAGTAGAACATGAACCACATGTATTTTTTGGGTGATAGTTGGTATAAACCACGTGCCTTCTCTCTAGAAAAATTCATATATAGAGAGAGGTAATTTTATATATGTTTTGGGGGAGAGTTATGAACCCCTAAAGCATATGTCTGAAGCCTCCTCCCCCAGTTGGAGGTGAGGAGTCCCTGACCCAGTTCAACTCCTCGTTTGGTCCTTTTTTTTTTTTTTTTTTTTGGTACAGGGGATCGAACTCAGGACCTTGCGCTTGTGAGGCAGGCGCCTGAACCACTGAGCTAAATCCCCACCCCAACCCCTCGTTTTATTGGTTTATTTCGGGGGTACTGAAGTTTGAACCCAGGGCCTCACACATGCTAGACAAGTGCTGTGCTATCGAGTGACATCCCCAGCCCGTAACCCCTCGTTTCATGGCGGAGGAACCCCGGCAAGGATAAGCGACTTGTGCAAGTTATGTAGGAAGGTGGGTCCGTGCCCCGCTTCCTGACTGTGCATTTTCCCTGTAGTGTACCCATATTCTGTGTACCCCCTGTGAACACCGTATCCTAATGAAGCCCTTGGATAGTATGTGTTGGCACATTTGGTAAGTCCTAGGAGAGCAAATGTCTGTTTCAGGTGAAGCAGGAACAGTGTGACAGGCATGGAGGGACACTTCAGATTTTCTCGCCTTGGGGCTAGGGACCAAGAAGGAGGAGAAGAGGTTATGTTAGAGCTGCAATATCAGGACTCTGGAAAGTAGAGGTGCCAGGATGTGAATCTGTGAATCTGGTTGGAAAGGGCAAACTCCTGGGACCTTCGTGTTGTTCTAGCTTGGAACAGCTGCCAAATTGCATGTGACATTTTCTGTCTAATCGTTTCTCACCCCACCCCTCCAACACTCCAACACGCTGTCCAGTCAGCCGAGGAGGAACTGTTGCTCTGTGGCTGCCCAACCTCATGGGGAAAGAGGAGATCTGTGAGGTTTCTCTGTTAAACAAATGCCGGAGCTGTGTGATGATTACTTGTTGATGCCAATGCCGATGCCGAGAGGTTGCCCTCACGACTCATTATGTCCAGTTTGGGGTGTGAAGTTTCAGGTAATAAAGTGGCTGATGGGCCAGGGATTTAGCTCAGTGGTTCCGTTGCTTGCCTTGCAAGCACAAAGACCAGAGTTCGATCCCTGGTACCAAAAAAAAAAAAAATGTGGCTGGTTAGGACGCATCCTCTTTATTGGTAGCATCTTTTGGCATACGATTTGAAGGGAATGATGGCCAAGATGTTCTTCTTTGAAGCTTATTCCAGGCAAGGCTCTGACCTGGGCACTGGGGATGCAGCAGGGAAGACAGAAATGTCTCTTAGGGGCTTTAACCAGGGTTTGGATGCCTGCTGTTCAGTACAGGTAGCTTTAGTGCACAGCACTCATTTAAATTGACCTAGGGAGCTTTATGTACAAAGATAAAGTAATTATTTGTTTAAAAAACAGCCAAAATTGATTTTCACTAAATTAGGTTATTCTTGCTTTAGATTGCCTCACTAGGGACCTTTCATTGTACAAGGGAGAAGGCATGAGACTGATAGTGAAGAAAGTCGAGGGGCTGTGGGTGGTAGAGAGCCTGTACAGGAGCCAGACAGCCCGGCTCAGCTTCCAGCTGCGCCACTGCCGAGCAGGGCAGCCTTTCTGAGCCC